TCAAAAAAAACTTATACATATATGCCTCTGGCGAAAAACTAATAATATTGTTTATAAAGAAATTTTGGTTGATTTGTAGCATTTTTCCAAAATAATAAAAATTACTTTTCAATAAACGTAGTTTTTTTTTTAAGTTTAGTATATAACGCGAGGTATGAGTTTTATTTGTTATCAGTCTATTTCAATTTAGATATTATGTTGAATTCATCGCTTTCTTTCGTCGTATTTTTTATTTTAATGCGCATGCGTTAGCTAAATTTTTATATACATTAGACAGAGAGAGTTTTCATTATATAATATATTGATATTAGCATTATCAAAATGAAAAATTCGACGAAAGAAAGCGGCTATCACTTACAGTATAAATCACTATTTTTTCCCCAGGCAACACTGGGTAATTCAGCTATCTATTTATATGTATTAAAATATATTGCTAGCATAATCACAAGTAGGTAACGAATTTAAAATAATTAAGACATATAAAAGGCAGGATTTTGAACGGGCTACAAAGTGCACTGGTTTAGCTAGTAATATTATATAAACCAAATACCACTTACTGATCTTCACTACATCCTAAAAACGACAGATCGTATGAAACTACAATTTGACATCATAGTGGTTCCATTAATAATCTAGACATGCAATAAGAAAGGATTTTTCAAAATTCCATTCCTAAACCGGATAAATCAGCGTACAATCAAAACTACCATATCAATTCAATTTAAATGTTGTTTTATTTGTTTTATAACCAGTAGTTACATCAGAAAATAAAGCATTTAATGATGTAAGGTAATAATCCATTAAAAACTATGTTCCAGATAAGACTATTCCATGCGATGCCGGTTGATTCAGCTATTCTTACATATTTATAACCTTTATCTTGATTCCGTTAAGACGAAAGACAACTTTATCCTATTTTTACATTAAATACTTACGTTTTTTTCTTTTTAAAAAAAGCGATAGTAGTCGTTCAAATTTGATTGAAATAGAAATATTACTCACTAAACCAAAATATATTTGTGGGCCTCAATGAAAGTTGAGAGGGCCACATTCTTATACGTATTATACAGACTTGAAGTTTAGTATACGCATGAAAAATATTACAATTTTAAGCGAAAAATAATACGTTTGATGTAATAAAAATTGTTAAGTTTTTTGCGGCGACATAATTTTAATATTATTGATAGCTTGGCTACCGTATGTCTTTAGATGCAATCTGTATATTTTTTAGAATACAGACAACTGTCATATCCATAGCTGTATTTTCGTACGAACTGAAATTTTAACCTGTCGTCTATCCATCGTATCCGTACCATAGTTGTTGAATTTTTATTTATTTTTCATCATCGAACGAATTTATACCTTACAAACGTAATGTTCATGTGCCCTTGTCATGTTAAAGAATATTTAATGTATTGGATTTTGCACCCCAATAGGTTATGTCCTTGAACTACTTGGTTATTGGTAATACATGCACTACTATGGTGGAAAATAAATGCGATTTAAAAAAAAAATATTGCTATAAAATAATTAAATATTATCTAAATAATGTAGTTAAATAGTGAAATAAAGCTACTTTGTATAATGCCTATTTATGTGTAGTTCGGGGTAATCAAAAAAATATATAAATAAATCGTAATTATTTGGTTATCTAATTAATATGTATGATTTAGTGATGAGTTTTAAACTTTTCGAAAAAAATGAAAAAAGTTCCTAACATACTAAAAATATACACAGAAATATTACTGAAACATGGCATAACTAACATGAATAATACAATTATCTAACTAAACACGAACATTATGTCGTACTTACAAATTTGGCTGATTAAATATAATTGGAAAGTTAAATTTACTAAAATGTTTCTAGGTCATTGCATTGGAGTTTTAAGGATTTAATTTACATTTTTTAATTTTAAGTAAGTTATAGGTTTTTCGTATAATTTCTTTGATAATCATAAATGTAAGTTTACATTTTAGTAGATACTCGTCGTATTAAATTGTATAAAACAGAACGTTTTTCGAATTTATTTTTATATTATACTTTTAGATTTTTACTTTTGTAAATATGAAACTGTAGTTTTTAATGTCGTATAAAATGTTGAATATAACTGTTTAAATATTATAAACTTTAAACATCAATTATTTAATTAATGGTGCATAATTTGTAGTGATATGGTCGAAATTAATTTGATTCGGTCGGACCGTTTCTTTTATCAAAACTTCAAATGTTTAATAATATACAGCAAAACGAAATAATTTGTTTTCAATTCTATAAATAACTGTACCGATGTTAAAAATCAATTCAATGTTTCTGGATCCGTGGCTGAAGCAACCTTCTATATCATTATTTTATAAGAAAGATACTACAAAAGATTGAGCTGAAATCGAATTGCAAATTCAAGAGATAGATTGACTGTTGATATCAATTGAAATCATAACAAATCACTATTACCATCGTTAAATCGTTTTGCCGTTCCACTTTACATAATACTAATGATTGGAAATTGTATTAAATAGAGGTGGTGAGTTCAAAATTAAAAAATCGTTTGAACTAATTCAACGCAGGAAAACATTATTGTTTCAAAACTTGGTACATTTAATACGTACCATATATAATTTGCAAAATAACAACGAACAAAAAACACAGTTATGGGTTTATATCATTACATTAACAATGTATCGTATTCTACTTGAAATTCAACGATTAATAACGGGCACGCCAAACGGGCAACAGTTTTGGTCTTACAATATGGTGATCGAATAATATGTGTTGACACGATTTTCATATATTTCTCGTGTGCACGTGATAGTGTTGGAAATAGATAATACAAAATTTATCTAGATCATGGGTTCTCAACCTTTTGAGGTCCACGCCCCCTTTCAAAATATTTTATGAGTTCATGCCCCCTCCCCCCCTCTTCACTGGTATAAGATTGATGTGAAATCGTAATATTTTTTGCGGGTTACCAAAACTTGTTCTTATCGCGTCGAGTGTCGGTTTTTCGCCGAAACAATGCTTCTATTAATATCCAGAATACTAAAGAGGATAATTATATGATTTGTATAATCTTATAAAATCATAATAATCGCTCGGTGTATGTCTATTGATCGACCCCGGCGGCGATTAACACACCAGCAATGCACGGCGTAGAAAACGGCAATGTTTTCATTTTTCGTATTCTTTTTCAACATTTTCACGCCCCCCCTGAAATTTTGTCACGCCTCCCTAGGGGGGCGCGCCCCCCAGGTTGAGAACTCGTGATCTAGATAAAGATGAAAGATAATATGTCCAAATTCATCTAGATAAAGATAATAGATAAAAAAAATTAAAATATCTAGATAAAGATAAAAAATAATTTCATTTTTATCTAGATAAAAAAAAGATATTTTCAGAAAATGTTATTTTTTGGTTAATATTTCAAATTCGATGAAGACTTAATTATAATCAGGGGCGTATTTAGGAATGTCTTATGGGGGGGGGGGGCACAAACAAGAAGTTCAAAGTGTACATAGTTATAACTTTTCCATCTCAAAAAACTGTCGTTATTCATAACCAAATAATCAAAATACAAGTGTTTGATAGAAAAATAAACTTTTATTATACAAATTTATAATAAAACATATTTTTAAATATAATTGTTATAATTACAATAAATGAAGACGCCTGGGGTGTTTATTAGCATATGCATCAACTACTTCTTCAGGTTTTATAATTATTTCAAAGTGTATATTAAGGTGTATTCAGGGTGTATACAATGCTAATCCGTTTAATCGATGGTATCATATTATCATGATATATTTATATTCCAGTATTTCACCGTGTGTCCGTGCGTAAAAAATAAGAGGGCCTATAATAATAAATTAAGTATAAAATACGGTGAATGGGAGTGGGCATGGGCCCCATAGGCCAACCCCTTAAATACGTCCCTGATTATAATCATTATTATCAATAGGTACCTAAGTGTTTAATATTTATTGTAGTAATGTAGTATACCATTAAGCAGTATTTATAAATATTGTACAATATTTAATGACAGTTAATCACTAAAATGTTAATACAAAAAAAAAAAAAAAAAAAAAAATGAAAATTGCTTTGTACGTATCAGGATGAATATAGAATATATAAAAAAATATTTTAAGTCAACAATATTATTTTCCATATAATATTAATTTGATAATTTTCATTATTTTATAAATAGTTACGAATTTACGGGTTCCAAGAGTGAAATAATAACTATTCAGCGTATGAATTACGTGTGTATACTAAAATCAAATACCTACTATATTTGGAACTTCCATGGAAAAATAAGAAATTAAGTTTCAAAATACTAAAAATATTTTCCCGACATGAAAATATAAATAAAATGAAATATCAAGAAATAATAATTACTTATTAATAATACACGAATTATGATTATGAATACAAAATCTACATGTATAAAAAAAAGTCAGGATATTTACAGAATTTATAATTCAAGAACGGCTGGACCGATTTCGATGTTCTCTGATTTGTTGGATTTATCTCCGTACAAGAATAAAAATAACTCTAATCTTGGCAACAATACAGACAATTATCTAGAGAAGTAAAAATTTTATCTTAGATAAGTAATTAGATAACTTAACGTTATTTATCTAGATAAGATAAAAGATGACAAAAAATCTATCTAGATAAGTCCCAACACTGGTGATAGTCATAGGTTAAAATAAAGTAACGATTGCGAAATCCAAGTAAAAACGTAAAACAGTCACGTGGAGAATTCATTTTATATTTTTTAGAACACAAGATTCGAATAAAGATAAAAACATATATATATATATATATATATATATACGTATACGCACGTAATACAATTAATTATTAGCAACAATATACAAATACGTGTATACCAGTACACTTAACACGACGCGTATTGTTGTAGTAGGTATTATCTCATAAAACCCCTACGAGACGTGAACCGTATGATATTTTTCACAATGAATAATATGACGTGTACGTACCAGTCACCGGCTCCAGAAGCACTGACGGGCGTCTCTAAAATTTTGTGCGCAGGATAGTGTACCAACGAAACCGTGTCATCGGATTGTCTCGAAGCCAACTGTCGCGAAACAAAAACACACAATGATTGAATATGATTATATTTTTGTCACAAAGGTTTTTATTTTTTCATGCACGCACATTAATATATATATTTGTCTGTCTTATAGTCTTTCAACGTTTTCGTACATTGTATAATATACGTTCCGGACTGTAAATAAATGTTCGAGATAGACGTTGTGATACATACCAACAGCCCTTTGTCGCCGAGTGTCACCATAATGACGGGAATGTGAGATATTAGCTTACAAACGACGTCTTTTGAACTATTCATTATGCGATCTCGTGCGTCGTCGAATTCGCCGTCGTCGCCGTTAATGGAAACTTTAATAGCGTAATTTACACGATCTCGAGCTGTAATGAAATTAAAATTAAAAAAAAAAAAAACCTAATGAAATTCTCTTTGGCGTCTCGACTACAAAGCGTTCGGAATCCGTATTCGATTGAGTCCATCGATTACTATATGCTTAATTATACTGCACATACTCGTATTTTTAACGTGTAAGTAAGTTGAACGAAATGGACGGCTGTATCCTAGTCGGGTTTGGAAATTAAAATAAGTGCTATACTTCGACAACATTTTCCTTTTCATTTTTTTTTAAAGTGAAAATCGATTCAGGGCTGTCTATAGTTAATTTTTATCGACACATATGTATAAACACGAAGAGCCCAGGAAAAATGGAAAAAAAAATTAATTGCGATTTACATAACGGAAAACCAGTAAATGATAGAATGAGTGCAAAAACTACGAAAAAATGTAAATAAATTGTTTTTGTAAAATGATTGCTGTCGTATTCATTGGTACCAACACTAAAGTAAATCAATATTTCTACGATATCAGCAGGAAACCATTTTTAATCGTATCTATGGTTAAAAATCGATCATACAGACGTTTCTGTAAGTACCTATGATAAAATGGGATGTAAAATATTGATGGTACTGCAGTACTCACCGAATCACATTTGGGACCCAACTAGTGTAGTGCCTGAAAAAATCCTGAACCCAACTATAGTGCACAAGGTACCTTTCATTAACCCCGTCTGTTTGGAACCCAACTCGGGTGGATCCCGAAATAGACACACGGATTTTTTACACTACAAAATACAACGGACGTAATAATCTGTCCGAACGGATCAGAGCAATACGCGTTTCGGAGGCTGCGTACGAGTTGATTCTTGTTTGAAGGTATCTGTTTAGTCTACATCAAGATGATAAGCGATGGTGAGCACTCCCGATCATATGGTAAACTCTCCCGAATTTTAAAATTAGTAAATTCCCCCCGCGGCCCCCCCCCCCCCCCCGCGCCCCCCCCCCCCCGCCTTCAAAAAGAACCCCCCCCCCCCCCCCCCCCCCGTAGGTGAACTCTCCCAAATCAATATTTATGTTTATCTGGAGGAAATGTGTAAACTGTACCGAGTCAACATTATATTTAGTTGAAGGAATGTACGCTCTTCCTCGGGGCATGTATCGATTGTGCCGAAAATCACAGGTAAAAAAAAAAAAATTAAATTTATTAATTTTATATTCGAACATTCCCAAATAGAAATTTTACGGTATAACCCGCGCTTTTAAAATAGCGTACTGATCAAACTAATATGTGTATCTACAGTATGTACCTAAATCTATAATATTTTTAGTAGTCAATAAAATATTTGAAAACAAATTCAATATGTATCTATATGTATATCGTATACCTACTATTTGTAACAAAATAACATTATTAGATTAATATTGATATTATTCATAATTTTATGCTTAATGTCCCGCTCTAAAATAATTATTTACTAAAGTAGCTCACCGAGGAAAAGAGGTTGGATACCACTGGTTTACATTTTTCCATCAGATAGAACTGGAGTAGACCCGGAAGAGCTTACCATTTGAAGAGTTCATAGGTCATTAAAGTCAGGCGAGTTTATAATCACCCTTGAGACCGGCGAAATCGATTTTGGGTCAATTAAAAGATATGTACGAGTTGATTTCCTCATTGTTGTTAGTTGTTAGGAGAAACAATTTTTTTATTTTGGTTAATGACAACATCGAAATTTAAGATAAAGCAATATTTATAGTCAAACATTCTGAAGGACCAGGACGGCAAACCGATTTAGCCCTTGTTATATTTTAAAATATAAAACTCCAAAGATTTAAAAATGTTTTTCTCGATTTGATTTTCGAATTTTTATTTTTAAAAATACGAAAATATTGAGAAAATTCCGATCGTTTATACAAAGTGGGAATCATTGATTTAAATAATCAAATAATTAATTAAAATATGACTGCATGAATATATCTATATCTTATATATTATATTATATTATATATATATCTATATCCATATCTTTAAATTACTGTTATAATAATATATTATTTTCTATTAATTTCCCGTGTATACCGACGCTTTACTTTTATCTTTATTGTTTATCAAAATATTTATTTTTCATATAAAATCTGAAAATATTATAATATTGAATTAATCGTGAATTATATTTATTGTAACTCTCACCTTTTTTACACCCAATGGCAGTTGATCTAAAACTATCTAATTTGTATATTTTTATTTATATTGTTAGAGAAATTAACGTTGCTATTAATATTGTTATTTTCAACAAAATATTTGAAAAGACTTCCTAACTTGCTTATGTTCTTCATTGGATAACGATATTAGGATGAAATTTGGGAATGAATACGGTTATATCATCAAAATGAGTTTAGGAATCAATATTGATACGGAAAGAATAAATCTGGAGAATCAACTCACTAACGCTGCACAGTGGTCTGAAATCCAATTTAGGTGGAAAGAAGTACATTTTTAAAGTATATTTATATTAATACTTTATTACAAAAACCCAATATGTATATTCTACATAACATAAATATAGTACCTCAGATAATATTAAGTGTGAGGCAACCAGGCCGATTAAAAAATGAAGATTATTTTCATATCTGTTGTTATACTTTATCGATTATACTTATTCGAGTTTTGTCGTTCATTCCACTCGTATTAATTAGTTATATTTTATATTTTTACTTATTTTCGTATGGGAAATGGATTTCGAAAACCAAGGCAAGTGTTTAATAACTATAATATATGTTTTTATGATGTTAGGTATAAAATATAGTTGGAAGAATAGTAAAAAAAAAAAAAGGTAATACTTATATTTAAAATTGAATAATTAAAAAATAACCAAAAATAATTGTTAATTAATATATATATACTATAGTACATATTTTACTTTATTCGATCTGAAAATTTGGTTAGCGTTCATTTCTGATTGTATTTTTAATTTTTTTTTTTTTTTTTTTTTGTAGCTAATTCCAGTAAAAATGTCGATATAATCGAATCAGATATTGACGAAAACTTGAATTTCAATAATTCTAATTTTCGTTATTATTCTTGCGATGATATACATAAACTATTAAAAATAGAGATCCATTGATCCCTCATTCCACAAAATCAAGAAGATACCTACTTGACATTTTGAAGGCTCGATACGAAACTGAACAATGGAAGCCATAATACACAAAATTAGTTGAACAAATCATTTTATAGTTTACATTGGTTTTGCAAAGACTTTGGTCTACAAGTTCACGAAATCATTAAATTAAATCAAGATTTAACCAGGCTAATAGTGATTGGCTTAAATCTAAACTAAAATTACCAATATTAGGCCAAAAAAAATTATAGAAATACCCAAAAAAAACTTCAAAAATAGTTGTGAAAAATCAAAACGGATTAAAATTAAAAAATTAACAAACAAATATTCTTTTTCAGAAATTATACTACATAAACTACACTATATACACTATATACAAATATACTTTATTACATAGTATACATATATATATATAAATTAGGGAAAGGAACAACAAATGATGGAAATACAGGCCGTAGATTTTTTAATAGTCCTAAAAAATCCTCAGAAATAACGGGTGTCGAATTCAATTTAATTAAACGCTTTGGAACTACGTATATATCGTCGTTACTTCCTATAGGTAAAAAAAAAAAAATATAAATCTCTAAAATATAATAATTTTAAATTATTAATGAAAATATTTTTTTAAGGTCAACATTTCGAGGAAGCACAGGAGGCTAGAAACAACGATTATAAAAAATATCGAGAAAATCATTCACATGTTCTCCATCATTTACTTGTTTCATCCGACCCATACATTTTCTCGATACATAAATTACCAATAAAAAAAAAAAAAAAAAAATGAGTTAGTTAATTAAGTGAAATTATTATTAAATTTAAATAATAATTTCACAGATGAAGAAAATGTCGTTTAAATAAAGTTGTATATAATATCATATATTACGAAAAAGTTAACTTTTAGATTAAAATATGTATATATTACCATTCAACGGGTGTAAATAAACATTTATTTTTTTTAAATATTTTTTCCAGTATCTTGGGCCTATTTTAATTTGATTATTGAGATAAAATAATTTTTTCCACCTAGATTGGATTTCAGACCACTGTGCGCTAGTTTCAGAAATTTTCGGGTCATGTCACTTAAGATTTAAATGTTGTCAGTGGTAGAGGAGTGTCGTAATCGTATATATTATTATAAGAAAAAACGACGACGGCCGACTGAACCTTATCCGTGGCACATATATGCACATTTAATGTCACTTACAGTGCAACAGCAATGTAGCCGATATCTTAGGAATGGATTTTCGTTTTTCCTTTGTCTTTCGCGTTTGGAAAAAAACATCATTCTGTAAACGAAGGACATTTAAGCGATTTCGATTGAAATTTAATTTAATTTTTTTTTGCCGTTGTAACTTCATCATTGAGGTATTTCATTTGAAGAAATGTTGCAGCGTTCAATACCATCATACATAAAAAATCATAAATACGTTTTCAGGAAATAAAATATATTAAAAGTATGTTTTTTTTTTTTTACTTAAATACCGTCAAATTATATAATTTCCGACGGTTAACGTTCTTTCTTTCACGCACTCAAGCCACATTGATGTTCACATTTTAATACAATTTTTTAGTGCACTTTTGCGATTTTATACCAAATTTCAAGCCTGACTATAGTTGACGTGTAACTTATATGGTATAAGCATTCGTTGCCTTTGATATTATAACGATAAGCGAGTCATTAAATTTAAAAAAATTTAAAAATGTACGTTTATGGTCGTATGATTCGTGACATGTAGTTTTGCACGTTCATGAATGTAGCATTACCAAGTTGACAAATAAACTCCAAACCTATGCCAATATTTTGCAAATTAATTGTAAATGATAACGAATTGGTTTTTACAATTTGCAAATAAAATCTCTAATTTTGGCTATCTTTTTGCGAATTTTTTATTAAAGAAGTGGTTATTGGAAAAAAGTATATTT